ACATCTGCACTTCCCTGGAGGACTAAATGTCCAATAGTGAGCCCTGGGAGGACAAGTCCTCTACAAGATTGGCAGGGAACCATTCAGAGAAGATGCTGGGGCCATCTACTAGGCCTCAGACCATCCTCCTCCCATGGAGATTCTCAAGCAGAGTCTATCAGAAGAGAGTTTCTACCCAGGCTTTTTTTCTTATTATTTTATTTTTATTTATTTATTTATTTATTTTTCATGAACAGTGAAGAGAAACTGCCCCAGGAAACTCCTCCCAGATACAGCCGGACATAGCAAACACCTCCAGCACTAGCCCTTCCCCAAGATCCTGGTGATGGGTGACTTTTGAATGTGACCAGCTCTGTCTGCCTGCTGGGAATAGCACCTGTATGGAGGAAATGGCCAGCCTTGCCTGGACTCTGTCTGGGCCCAGATACCAGCAGACTGTGGAGCGTGACCTTCTGCTAACTCCAGGGAGACAGGACCAGGACTGGGCAGGGCACTAGTGCAGGTTGCTGGGCTGGAAGTCCTATGATAAGGGTCACTAAGGGCTCTCATGGGAACCAGGATGAGGAGGTGTTTCCCTAACCTTGATCATGCCTTGTCCTGTGTGGTGTCTGCACAGTGGGGTCATATGCAGGGCAGCAGAGCTGGGCCAGTGAAGGAACGAGGGGCAGATGGGAGCCATGACAATCCAGAAGCTCCTAATGGTTGTGGAAGAGACTCACTGCTGCCTGGGGTGTTTGAGATCTCTCAGGGGCTGCAGCTACTGGCATAGCCTGTCAACACTCCCAGACCCAGGACAAATGGTTGGTGCCAAGCACCTCAGCTGACATTTCCTCTCTTGTGTCACTACTCTCCTTCAGGTTGACTCTTCCCTTGTCATGCTTCTGCCCACTACCAAAACAGACTCCATCATCTCTGAAACATCCTTCAAGACATCACATTGGTCACTGTACTAGTCTTGATTGGTTGTTTCCTGCTAACTTTCCTGTGGCTGTCTGCCCTTCAGAACTGACTCCCTTGGTCCATCCCATGGAATATATCCAAGCTATCCCTCCACCATGAGGATGTCCTGCTCCTCATCTTCCCTGGTGGTCTCTCCTGAAGAAATTGTACTCCGCCATTGAAGGATCCCAGTCATGTGACAGATACACCATATCTCAGTTATTCCAACAATGTGACATTCCTGGGACAGTTTGTACATCTCCATTGGCATCTGTCTGCACCCTAGACTCTGTATGCTTGCATGCATTTTGACCTCACCACCTCAGCTGAAGGTTTGTCACCAAGAAACATGTCACCAAGGACATGTATGTATGAAAGGATTCCTTGATTGCAAGTGGTGACATTCTGACATGGATGGCAGGTGGCAATGCAATACTGTGAAAGGTGATTGCTACTAAGAGAGGAAACCCTGCAGCCCCAGGCCCAGGAAGAAACAGAGCTGGGAGTGCAAAAAATTGCAGCAGAGGGGATGGCTGCCCAAGCTGTCTCTTTGGCACCATTGCCTTTGTTGCAGACTTCTTGAACCAATCTCCAGGAAGGACAGGTTACCAGTGAAGAAGTCTCTGGCCTGGGCACCCTGTGATCCAGCCACCCTGAAACCACCATTTGCCCGGTCCCTGTTCATATCATCTGATGAGGAAAGAAGACATTCAGGAGGAGGAGGTTTGTGAGTGCAGAGATTAGAGCAGACACCTTGGCATGATGTGCCTCCCATTTATGTATCAAGCTAGATGTAGATGGGATGAACTTCCTCTTCAGGCAATGGCGGAATTTGGTGGTTTGGGTACAGTTTGGAAACCCAGGATGCCCTGGGGCACTTGCCCACCCCAAAGAGTCATGCTTTTCCTTTAGGTCCCATACTGCGTCTGCCAGAGACAAGTGGTTGTGCTGGACACCAAAGGCATACGACATGACCTTGACAGCAGTTTTCTATGCCAGCAAATCAAGTGTCTGCACTGAATTACTAAAGCCTCTGGTTAATACTCGAATCTTAATATGCCTCAGCTTCAACAGTAGAGGGGCTCAAGTTGTAGTTAAAAATCTGGAGTCATGCCAGATGGCCAAGGCAATATCCAACTTTGCCCCTAACTCATGCTCTAGGATCATGCATGTCTCCCAGTTGCTCCATCAGAACAAGCAGACACAGAAAAATGCTTTGGATCATATCAGTATCTTCAATTGTCATCAAGCATTTGTGTGTGAGCAACTGAATTCTGTCTTCCATATCCAGTGATGGCAATGGGAGTTTAGACAAGGAGCGCACATGCAGCTTTGTTGTGCTTCAGATTTGGAGAGGGGAATCTCACCACCTGTGTGCTTTAGGCATTTACGGGAGTTTTCTGAATTCCACTAGACTCCAGCTGTTTTGAGACCAGCATGAAATACTCAGATTGACTCATTGCGTCAACATGTGAACCATGTGTCAATAACCTCCCTTCTTCTCTCATCTAGGGGTTCTGCCCAGTTAAGAGATGTGAATTGTGTCTTCCACAGTGGGATATTTCCAACTTCATAGATAGTTGTCCCCTTATGAAATAAATTGCAATTTTGGAATCTGTCCCTCTGTACTCATTAGGAAAAGACAAAAGGTGATTAATTTTTGACTTGATGGAACATTTCCCAGGAGGAAGAAGCACAAGGGACAGAGTTCAGCTGGGCCTCTGCTCCTGAGCAGGTCCAGGCTCCTGGAATGGAAGGAGCTTATGGCAACCAGGCAGCCCTGCCCAGAGACACTGTGTGCAGAAGCAGCTCCTGTGCCAAGAGCAGCAGGGCTCCAGGCACAGCCTGCTCCTGCAGACTGGAGAGGAGAGAAGGCAGAGAGAGGTGAACGGGAGTGTGGAATGAGAGGCCACAGGAGAAATCTTTGTGGGAGAAACCTTTACAGCCCTTGACATGGTAAGTCTCTGGCTGCAGGGCAAGGTTACTAAGGTTCCATGGAAAGGTCTTGAACCTATTCAGTCACACAATGGATTTGTAAGGATGGGTCTCCTGATTTCTGCTTTGTAGAGGAGTAGGAGATGCCTTAGCACAGGCATTCCCTGCTACACTGTCACAGGGACCGAGTATGCTCTTCCCTTCTTCCAGGGACTCTGCAGGGGTGTGAAGCCATGGTGTGCAGTCAGGGCAGTGACTGCTCTCTGGAGAGGTCAGTACTCATTACAGACCTACCCACTATTCTGTGAGGAGAAGCTCTGGGTGTGAGGGACAACCCCTGGCAGTGCAGGTTCCTTCTCCCGTCAAGCAGATGCTGCATGGGTCAGAGCCACTCACATCTCTAGCTCACCCTGGGAGCAGATATTACAAGAGGAAGGCCCAGGCAGTGAATATCTGAAAGGGAAGGAGCTTTTGTGTGTCTCTCCATTCAGTTCCATGCCCTTTGGGTAGGGTGAAATGGTATTTAATTTGCCAGGTTTCAGCAGAGGCTTGAGATTCCAAAACAACAAGGACAGGAAATTAGCAAATCCCCTCACCCACCTGTCAGCTTACAGACAGAACCAGAATCACCTTTCCAGACCCAGCAAGGTTTATTTTCTCACCTGCTTCTTGGCACTTGCCAACACAGAGGTGCCTTGGGCAGGGTCCTGCTCCCAGGAGGTGTCTGCAGTGCAGAGCTGAGCACCCCGTGGATGGGATGGGGCCTCTGAGCACAGGCAGGGCAGAGACATGGGGAACAGAGAAATAGTTCCCTGCAGGGACGACTCCAGGCAGCCGAGTCATGGTCAGTGGATAGGTGGAACCCACCACCTCCAACCCCTCTTCTCCTCTCCAGCAGCACAGAGCTCTGCTCTCCAGGTCGTGCCCAGGGCAAAAGTTGTCCCTGGGCAATTGGATGTCCAAGATAGGATACACTCCTGAACACCCCCTGCCCCTGCCTCCCTTGGCACAGCTATCATGGTGTTAAACCATGATCCCACCTGCCCATGCTGCCCTTGGACTGTCTGGGCAGGGAGTTTCTGAGGCAGTTCAGACACAAACAATGCATGTCTTGCCATGCAAACATGTCATTGACAGTGAGGTATCCAAGTCCCCTCTAATCTGTGGGGCTCTGCGCAGTGCAGTGTGGGGCTCTGGGAATGAGCCAACTCTCTCATCAGGACACCCTGTCCTTAGGACATCCCATGATCCTCCTGCTGTGTCTCACTGGGCTGCAAACTGCAGCCCTGCAGAAGAGCAGTGCTCCCCCATTGCAGGTGGTGTTGTCTAGGTGTCCTAGGGAGAAGTCCTCTAGATACTGAGGCCACAGAAATGCTGCTGGGAGATGGACGTACACAGTTGGCAGGAGCCCCAGGTTTTGCTGGCTCCAAAGGGAGGTCTGAGGCCTGCCTCACAGCCCCTCCAAAAGAGTGCTGATGGGCACACTGGAAGGGGATTCCTCTGTTCTCTATGGTGTCATTTTGTTTTGGGATAAGATAAGGGAAGTATCCTCCACCTCCCTGGAGGGAACACAGGGCAGATGGGTCAGGGCAGATGGAGAGGCCAGCTGTGCATCCTCAGCACTAAAGCCAGAGTGAATCCTTTTGCCTCTCTGCAATTACAGCTGTTCAAAAAACAGGAATGCTGAGGATTTCTACCACCAGGAATCCTCTTCAGGAGAACAAAACAAAACAAACAAACAAAAAAATCCTTAAAGGTATTAATGAAGTGACCTTTTTTAGTAGTAGGAATGAAGGTGTTTGGAAATTCCATCAACATTTTAAGTGGATTAAATCTGTGTGGAATGAAGAATATAAATCTTAGTCATCCCTATTCCCTTGCGCACAGTGCTACAGTGCTGACTTCTCTGGAGCTCATGAACAGAGTCCTTGTTCCACGCTACAAACTCAGGCATCTCAACACAAAGGTGAAGCCTTGCAACTCTGTTATGACTCTGCTGCAATGGGCAGAGATAATGTGTGTGTGTTTGATAGGATTTTAAGAGAAAGATTTCCTCAGGGAAATCTATCCTAATCTTTCTGTATCCATTTTTGCTTGGACAGCTCCCAAAGTACAGAGGCAGCAAAATGCCCAACAGCACCTCCTTCAGTGAGTTCCTCCTCCTGGCATTTGCAGGCACATGGGAACTGCAGCTCTTGCACTTTTCGCTCTTCCTGGGCATCTACCTGGCTGCCCTCCTGGCCAACGGCCTCATCATCACAGCCATAGCCTGCAGCCGCCTCCTCCACACCCCCATGTACTTCTTCCTCCTCAACCTCTCCCTCCTTGACCTTGCATCCATCTCCACCACTGTTCCCAAATCCATGCACAATTCCCTCTGGAACACCAGAGACATTTCCTACTTAGGATGTGCTGCCCAGGTGTTTTTCTTCTTTTTCTTATATTCAGCAGAGTTTTCTCTCCTCACAGTCATGGCCTATGACCGCTACGTTGCCATCTGCAGACCCCTGCACTACGGGACCATCATGGACGGCAGAGCTTGTGTCAAAATGGCAGCAGCTGCCTGGGCCAGTGGCTTTCTCAATGCTTTCCTGCACGCTGGGAACACATTCTCACTACCCCTTTGCCAAGGCAATGTGGTGGAGCAGTTCTTCTGTGAAATCCCCCAGATCCTCAAGCTCTCTTGCTCAGACTCCTACCTCAGCGAAATTGGGCTTCTTATGTTTAGTGGCTGTTTATCATTGGGATGTTTCATTTTCATTGTGGTGTCCTACATGCAGATCTTCGCTGCTGTGCTGAGGATCCTCTCTGAGCAGGGCCAGCACAAAGCCTTTTCCATGTGCTTCCCTCACCTGGCTGTGGTCTCCCTGTTTCTTTGCACCTCATTTGTTGCCTACTTGAAGCCCCCCTCCATCTTCTCCGCAGCTCTGGATCTGGTTGTGGCTGTTCTGTATGTGGTGGTGCCTCCAGCAGTGAATCCCCTCATTTACAGCGTGAGGAATAAAGACCTCAAGGTTGTCTTGAGGAAAGTGATTTCATGTAGATTTTTCAGTAGTGGTAGTATTGCCTTTGGCCCCCCAAAATGATTTCTGGCTATGGTCCATACCAGGACTGAGCTTTGCTGTTGTTCCCTCTACTTTATTATTACTATCATTGGTTTTGTTATTATTATTTGCTATCATGTTGATACACAAATAATTGGATGCTCGCTTTTACTTAGCCTGCTGTGACACACCTTGTACAAAGTGTGTTGGAGCTGCCTCCACTGCAGTATCTTTCATATAGAGGGAGGAAATGACAAGATAAAACAAGGACAAGATGAAGTAAAGAATATTTCAAAAATAAATAAATAATTATGTTGGTTGAGCAGCACTGGGGCAAGGACTTGCAAAAATGCTCCTGGGTAAAGCACTCAGTGGCATGATCTACCTGTAAGGTAGCAGATCATGGTCCTGGAGATCTCCAGTGGTTCTTCACAAATAAAATCCACTAGGAGAAAGGGGCTGGAAGTTGGAGTCTTGATCAGAGGGCACAGTTGTTGTGCTCTTGTTGCTGACATTTGTACTGCCCGGTCAACCCTGTCCTCAGAATTACATGGTGAGTGAGGTCATCCTCAAAAGAGTCAAGGCAGTCCCATTCCTTAGTTAATAGGTTACAGGGCATCAGCAGGGCTGTACTGCCTGCAGGAAGAGAATCACTGCGGGGGGCATGAACAGACCCCACTCTGCCCTTCTTTGGAGAAAGGGAAAATGGAAACCCTTTGGTCCATGGGATTTATAGCACCTCATTAACCCTCTAAACTCTCTTCCTGATGTATAATCCCCAAAGAAGTTCTTTCGCAGGAGTATTTCTGATTTCTGACCCTATTTCTGACCCAGATGGAAGCAGCAGGTTGCAGTACAGGTCTCCAGTGGTCTCTACAACCTGAATTGTCCTGAAATCCAATGAACTAATGACCCATCTCAAGCGCAGGGCTAACATCTCCGGAACACAAGTCATGTGCTTTATGTAAGCATCTAAAAGAAGGTAGGCGAAAACCTTCTGCTCCCTGTTGACTACCAAGGCAGCCTGGTTAGCACTGTGTCAGGCATGACTACATTACCTCTGAAGTTCTTTGCAAACGCATTTAATCATGTAAAACTCCATTGCCCGGCTACCCTTAGTGACGAGAGGAAAAGAGCAAGCTTTGGTGCTGTGTGCTTTCTCTTCTTCAGTAACTGGTGCCATTAAATAGATGTAGCCACAAGAACAGTCTAGTCTGCAGCGCAGTCTGTAAGGGCCTGGCCTTCTGTGGTTCCGATCAGAAATCACAGAATGGTTGAGGTTCGAAGGGACCTCTAGAGATCATCTAGTCCAATCCCCCTGATCCAGCAGAAACACCTGGAGCACGTGGCACAGGGTGACATTCAGGAGGGTTTTGAAGATCTCTGGAGAAGGAGATTCCACAACCTCTCTGGGCAGCCTGTTCCAAGGCTCTGTCACCATCATAGTAAAGAAGTTCCGCTTCATATAGAGATTAAACTTCCTATGTTTCAACTTACACCCATTACCTCTCATCCTGTCACTGGCCACCACGGAGAAGAGCCTGGCCCCATCCTCCCTACAATCACCCCTCAGGTACTTGAACATATTGATCAGATCTCCTCTCAGACTTATTTTCTCCAGAATAAACAGGCCCAGCTCACTTATTCTATCTTCATGCAATAGACACTCCAGTCCCTTAATCATCTGTATTGCTCTACACTGTACCTTCTCTAGAACCTCAATGTCCTTCTTGTACTGGGGGGCCCAGAACTGCACCCAATACTCCAGGTGCAGCCTCACTAGAGCTGAGTAGAGGGGGAGGATCACCTCCCTCGACCTGCTGGCAACACTCCTCCTGATGCAGGCCAGGAAAGGCCTTCAGGTTCCCAGAAAGATAAAGAGAGCAAGGAAATCCTGATGATTCCTGGTAAGCCTCAGTGACAGAAACAACAGCCATAGTCTAGAGGATAAAGAAACTTACACCCATTACCTCTCATCCTGTCACTGGCCACCACAGAGAAGAGCCTGGCCCCATCCTCCCTACAATCACCCCTCAGGTACTTGAACATATTGATCAGATCTCCTCTCAAACTTATTTTCTCCAGAATAAACAGGCCCAGCTCACTTATTCTATCTTCATGCAATAGACACTCCAGTCCCTTAATCATCTGTATTGCTCTACACTGTACCTTCTCTAGAACCTCAATGTCCTTCTTGTACTGAGGGGCCCAGAACTGCACCCAATACTCCAGGTGCAGCCTCACTAGAGCTGAGTAGAGGGGGAGGATCACCTCCCTCGACCTGCTGGCAACACTCCTCCTGATGCAGGCCAGGAAAGGCCTTCAGGTTCCCAGAAAGATAAAGAGAGCAAGGAAATCCTGATGATTCCTGGTAAGCCTCAGTGACAGAAACAACAGCCATAGTCTAGAGGATAAAGACCTCCATTCTTCTGGGGCCTTGGCAGTGCCTTTGGCCATCTCCACCACAGGCCAACCTATACCTGTTCCTGTGTCCCTGCCGACTGTAGATACCCAATCTGCTTCCCCACCAAGTTCTCACAACAGGTTCTTCTTCCCTTCATTGATGGCTTTTCCATCCTCAGTGGCTGTTTCTTGAAACACAAAGCCATGGCAGTGACAGACTTGCTCTGGGTGCCCTGTTGCCACACAGCACTTCAAATGATACTTCTTCATCCTATTGCCCAATCCGAGGTTCCCAAGCTGTATTTTGGGCCTGTTTCCTCTTTTCATGCTGCTTCCCTCTACCAAGGAAATTTCCTGGCAGCCCCACAATGTGGGGATGAATATAACCTTGTCTATCACAACAGAGTGGAACATGAGGAACTGAAGTGCCAGGGCCTGAACAACAGGCCCATGTTGAGCTTGACTTACAGATGAATACGGCACTGCTTTTGCAGCACACTCACCTATAGAATTGCTCATGCTAACCTGCATGGAGGCTTATTAAACTGTAACTTTTGTAGGCGCTCATGCAAGTGTTTTTGACCCTCCCATCCAAGATTTGGGCTCTGGTCAAGTCCTGGTTCCAGATGATAGGAAAAGTATGCCACACCAGATGTTACCTCTTCCAAAGAAAATGCAAGTTATCATGATTTGCTTATTTGGCTCTATAAAAGTTGGACCCTCTTGCAGCGACTTTGGAGACCTCACTTATAGGTGGACGCACCACGTAAGACCTCCCAGTTCCTAGGAAGGTTCTCCAAATTCTCTCTGCAACAGGGACTCCCCAGTGACTGTGGATCTGGATGATGGTAACTTATTTACGCAGCTGATGATGTATCTCTTAATCACTATTCTCTTTCTCGTATAGTAACGGTTAGGTGCATTACCTTGCTTATTTTGTCCATTGTTAAAACCGAGCATGTATTAAGTTTATTGTTCTGCTGAATGTATCATTCAGTACTGCCTTAATATTAATAGTGAAACAAAATTGTTCTTTCCAGTTGTGTCTAGTTCTTTCTGTCACCCCATCCCATCAATTAGCAAAACAGGAGAAGAAGGGAGTTCCCTGATACCTGCTACTCATATGACTTATTCTGGGCTCCCTATGTCTATTCAGCTGCCTCTGGACTGGAAGGGGATTCAGATAACTCTCATGACTCCACAAATACATGGCAGATGCCTTTCCCTTTAACAAGCAAAGTGTGTACAACACAAGACACCAGCACACAAGCTCCTTCTCTAAGCTCCTAATAGAATCACTGGAGATGGAGTCACTTGTGCACACAAGAACACTTGGTGACACTGGAAGAGACAGGGGTGGTCCAAGGCATATGGCAGTGCATGCTTACTCTAATGGAGCAAATGTGATACCCGCATCCTTCTGCAGCTTCAGCTAGAGGACAGGTGGGGCATTTCCTCGGCCATCTCAAATAGCCCTGCATGCCTTCCTAGGAAGGTTCTCCAAATTCTCTCTGCAACAGGGACTCCCCAGTGACTGTGGATCTGGATGATGGTAACTTATTTACGCAGCTGATGATGTATCTCTTAATCACTATTCTCTTTCTCGTATAGTAACGGTTAGGTGCATTACCTTGCTTATTTTGTCCATTGTTAAAACCGAGCATGTATTAAGTTTATTGTTCTGCTGAATGTATCATTCAGTACTGCCTTAATATTAATAGTGAAACAAAATTGTTCTTTCCAGTTGTGTCTAGTTCTTTCTGTCACCCCATCCCATCAATTAGCAAAACAGGAGAAGAAGGGAGTTCCCTGATACCTGCTACTCATATGACTTATTCTGGGCTCCCTATGTCTATTCAGCTGCCTCTGGACTGGAAGGGGATTCAGATAACTCTCATGACTCCACAAATACATGGCAGATGCCTTTCCCTTTAACAAGCAAAGTGTGTACAACACAAGACACCAGCACACAAGCTCCTTCTCTAAGCTCCTAATAGAATCACTGGAGATGGAGTCACTTGTGCACACAAGAACACTTGGTGACACTGGAAGAGACAGGGGTGGTCCAAGGCATATGGCAGTGCATGCTTACTCTAATGGAGCAAATGTGATACCCGCATCCTTCTGCAGCTTCAGCTAGAGGACAGGTGGGGCATTTCCTCGGCCATCTCAAATAGCCCTGCATGCCTTCTGCCAGAGCCTGACATAATGCTCCATTTGATGTTCTGTTTTATTAGGATATTGTGGTGCCGATATCAAGTCCATGTGTGCTGAAGCCGCCCTCTGTGCTTTGCGGCGCCGCTACCCTCAGATATACAGAAGCCCTGAGAAACTGCAGCTTGATGTCTCTTCAATTAAAATAACAGCAAAAGATTTTTTCATGGCTGTGGAAAGAATTGTACCAGCTTCACAGAGGTCTGTGGATTTGCCCGGACAAGCATTATCACTCATTTTTAAACCACTACTTAATAAGACTTTTAAGAGAATTTTACGAGTCCTGCAGAGAGTATTTCCCCACGCAGAACTTGTCCTAAAGAAGGACCAGCAGCAAGGTAGGACAATGACATGTACAGCTGGTTAAAACTACTTGTTGTTTTAGCTATCGTCATTTCACCTCATATTAATTTAAGTATTTGTGG